GGCGCAAGCGGCTCGGCGCCCGCCCCGCGGAGCCGCGACCTCGCCTCCGAAGGCGTGACCGCCCCCCGGGGCCGCCCCCGCCCCGCCCTGGGCTCGGGCGCGCGCGGGGGGGGGGCAAGAAAGGCCGGACGCCTCAGCTGCGCGCTGGCGGGGGGCGGCGAGCGTCTTCCCGCATCTCCCCGCTCCCAAAGCGCCTCGTCGGAACAGCGCAGCTGCGCGGCGCCTCGCCGGCCGGGGGGTCCGAGCGTGGTCTCCGGGGGCCAGAGGACTCTCGCTAAACGACTCGCCCCGTTGCCTGGGCCCCCTCTCGTGGCGACCCCGCAGCAGCTTGCCCGGCTTCGGCGCCTCTCCGCTGTGTCCGCACAACAACCCTTTGAGGCGGGCACGGCTCGGGAACCGGCGCAAAGTTGCGCACGAGCTTCAAGGCCAAACGCGCCCAAGGAGCAGACCTTTCCCACATCCCAGGCTCGCGCTCCAGTCCCCACATGACGTGCAGTTTTTGCCTGAACGGACAAACACAACTATTCTTCTGGAAAAATGCCTTGTGCTGCATTTTCAAAGATGAATCTGTTGCTCCAGAAGCTGTAGCAGAGGACGACCCACGACATTCGGTGTGTGAGGAGTCATCCTTCGTTCATGGATAGCATTTCTCTCTCCCTGTAGACACACAAATGGGCCCACAAACACACACATTGTACAATGTGCGGATTTGTGCTTTTCACGTCACAGAGGGTCAGCCCGTTCCTACATGGACCTACCCCAAAGTAACCCCTCCTGATTTTTATTGTGGACTTTATTATTTACTCCCAGGTAGTATAGAATTAGAGACTGACCCCTCTTGCAATTCTTGTTCCACAAAGTCCCTCCTCCCCCTCTACTAGGGTGTGTAGTTGTATTTGGATTTGCACGTATCATCCCAGTGAGCCAAATATCTGTTTTCTTTCTATAGCAGCCATGCCCAGAGTGGGTATTTTGGACTACAGTTTCTATCATCCCTGGCCAGTATGGCCAGCACATCTGGAGGGCACCAGATTGGGGACAGCTTAATCCATAGGTTTGGAGAAACTCAGCTTTAAACCCCCAGCAGGCCAGAATAGGTGCTGGCTAACCTGGACAGGCACCCTAAGTCATCCAGCAGCATTTTTGGCATCTGGGGAGAAAAACGATGGATTATTTCCACGAGCAACTTGGGCAGAAAGATACGCAAAAAATGCAGTTATACAAATAGGACTGCACGGCTTTGGATCGGTCTCCTTTCTGTTCCTGGGCGCTTGAAGATGCAGTAAAATGGGAGCTTTGGCTTTTGTTTGGAAATTGTATGGATCTTGCTCCAATTGTTTGCCAAACCCATGCAATGCTCGGACTGCATCACAGTAATGCTTTGCAATATTATTTGCCAAATCCATGCAATGCGCCACATTTTCAGCATGTTCCCGATGGCTCCTGGCCTGGAGGCTGCAGCCGCCTGAGCAAGCAAAGTGTCTTGCTGACTCGCTTCTTGGAAAACTTGCTAGAAAGTGAGAGGGAGATGTCTGTCTGTGGAAATCCCGTGTGATGGACAGCAAACAAGCGAATGTTTTGACTTTCTATTTTCATCCATGGATAGAAGCAAAACCCACAAGGCGTGAAGCAGGGGAGGGGGAGGGAAGAAACCCAGCTAACTCTGGACTGCTCTTTAAAGCGGGGACTCAACTCAAGGAGACAGCCAGATCTTCTTCCCCAACGGAGTCAGGGCAGCCTTCAGATCGAATCAACAGCTCCCCAGAGAATGTGTTCCCTCGAATGAAACTTCGCCACTGTCACAGACTTAATCATACAGAAGGCATGGTGGGGTTGGCTGCCTCTTCCACACACATGTTTAGCCGGAGCTCTTGCTGTTGGAAGGGAAGCATCCCCATGTTTGGACTGGCCTCCACCGTGGGGGAATGCCCAAGGCAAGATTAAAGGGAGCTGGACAGGAGGACCCATAAGAAAGGAAGGAAGGGAGGAAGGAAGGAAGGAAGAACACCAGCGTGTGGGGAAACAGGCCTTCTGGTGCAGCATGGCAGTGTTTCTCAGAAGCAGGGGCATTGCCAGTGTTTTGGGGCTCTCAGGCAAGGGGGGTGCATTGGAGGCAGCTGGAGCAGCCCAAGTCCTCTGAGGACTTTGGAGACAGCTGGGACCCCAGCCAGACTCAAAAAGTCGGTCGATGCAATTGCTCGCTGAGTCCTTAGAAGAATTTTGTTACGGCAGAAGCTTGCACCAGGATAAAATGGTTTGTCCCGACGGTGCCAAGAGGAAGTGTCTTGTTGTTAAGGACAGAGCTATTGTTACAGAAGCTGTCCTGGACTGCAACCTACTTCCCTGAATGTGTGAAAAGCTGCTGTCATTTGGCAGAGAGTAGCTGTTTCCCACCCCAGCACACAAACGCGGGCACATGGCCCATGCAGCATCCTCTTTGAGCTGCTTTAGAGCTAAGCACCATTACAATCTCCTCCGCCCCCAAATCATGGATATTTTCTCCAGTGTTGGGCTCTCCAAATTCCTACAGATTCTTCCCTCTTGCACGTGGATTCAGGTGGTGTAAGGATTCACACCCGCCTCTGAACATCACCAAAAGAGGTAGCTATATTAACCCCCTCCCAACACACACACACACACACACACACACATCATAAGTCTTTTTCATTTTCCTGAAAGCTTTCTCAGCTGGAGCGTTCTCCCAGTGAATGTGCACAGAAAACACGAACCTGTTTTTCTAACCATCTGCTTTTTAATGCAGTGCTAAAAGCACAGAAAGATAATTTCGAGCTTCTTCTGGCAGGTCATCCATTAACATAATTTCCATTTCTTTCCTTACACATTTGAGCTTAAGCGTGACTCATGCTTCCTCGAGACTATGTCATGGATGGAGAGCAGCTTAGCTACCCAGAACGGCAGAGTGAAAATTCAAGCTTTTTTCCACCTGGAGCTTACCTGCTCAGAGCAGAGGGAAATACAGAAAGAACAATTTGATGTTGCAAGTGTGTGACTGTTGCAGAAAGAGTATTCACAAGATGGGAAGGAGAGCATTGAATTTCACACTCCCCACTTTGTGTTTTAAACAAAGTGAGTTTGTTCCTCTTCTGATTTTCGGGCGTTGGAGTATTGTTTGTTCGCACTGGGGTCTGAGGTTTTCTGGAGCAGCGTGTGTCCAAGTAGCTAAATTCAGACGCATCCAGGTTAACTAAATGGACATTAATGGAGGACCACCACGCCTGGGGTGTAATTGAATGTGTTATTTCTGTGGCAACCAGAAAAAGCTAGCAATGTATCTCCAGTCCTGGTTGTGCTTTGTTGTTGCCAAAAGAGAAGCTTCAGGAAGTTTCTTGGTGCGTATGTTGCTCTGAATGGCTAAAATCTGCAGCCTCGTGCTCCAGACCAAAGCCAGGGAGTTTGAGGGAGACTGGAAGGTACCTTCCATCTGCAGGTCACCCCGGCTACGCCCCCCCCCCCCACCACCGCCATGGGCCACATTCCTGCCGTCACCTTGCAATTGATTTTGAAAGCCAATGCACCTTTCGTTTAGGCTGCAGAGAAGATTTCCCTGAAATCTGATGGCAAACTACTGGCTTTTGGCCTCTGAACTGACACCAGGTTTCAGCCGTGCGCTGGTGGCGACTGCACTGGAGAACAAGGCTGTGTGTGACCAACCCCGGGCTAGAATCTGGCAGCTTGGCCCTCCTCCCTCCTATCAGCCCAGTCCAGCCCTCCGAAGCACCTGGCTGCGGGATGCCTGTCGCCCTTTGTGCACAGGTATTGTGGTCTCGGGTACCAAGAGGAAGAGCTACAGGCAACCGAACCCAGAAAGAAGCTGCGGGAAGATGGCCAAGTGCAGCTCTCAGCCTGGAGAGGGACAGGAGTCCGACTCCCTGCTGGCTTTGACGCTACCTGAAGTGATCCTAGCCGAGCCGTTCTCGCTCGGCCTGTGCTGGGATATTTTGCATGCCTATTTTGAAACCTATAATAATTCTTAGAAATAATGATCACTACATTTGCACTTCTTCATCTAAAGCAGCACATGCAAACTGAACGCAAATCCAGCCCCTTTTGTGCTGATATGGAAGTGGGCGCCCTCTTCTTGTTCGATGATGATGCCGATGATGCCTTCATATCCTGCCCTTTCCCCCTTGCAAGGCACCCAAGCAAGCTTCTTGAGTCCGTACCTGGATTTTCAGGGACTTGGACTGGAACCCAGGGTGGGGAACAGTTTTTCTCTCGGCCTGCAGTTTGTCCAGGGCCCTGAGCTGCAGGGGACGGCCCCAGCACCTTGCAGATGCTGGCCGGGCGTGTGTGCGATCCCAGCCATCGTCCGACCAAGCCTCTGCTCCCTGCCGCATCAGGTTGCCTCTCGCTGCGCACCAGGCCTGCTGCGGTGGGATGCCAGGCTGGCAGGCTCCCTGACGTGCAATGGGGGTGCAAGTGCCCCCCGCCTGGGCAGGCGGCACTCCCGGGCCTCTCACAGGATGGGGAGCTTGCACCAAAATGACACAAACATGCACGGACAGCCGGAGACCAGGAGCCGTGCACAGAAGCACATGGAGGGGCCATGTGCTGCCTCAGTGCCCTCTGGCTGAGAGCGACCCCTGAACATGCGCACGAGC